GCGGCGTGACGGCTGGGCGGACGCGCCGCATTACACGACTCCAGGAAGCGCGGGCGACCTGGCGGACGCGTCTGAGTTGGCGAGATTTCGCTTAGGAGAGTCCTTAGAGCTTCGTTTTCGCACGCAGGTGCCTGGGGAGTGCGGTAATGGCTCGCTTCTGTCGTCGGTTGCCAAACGTTTTTCTCGAATGTCTCGATCTGAATCCACAGAATCCTATCTGGCGACGCCATCATTTCAGCGCACGAGCCTGCTTCGGCGATTTTGCTTTTTGTGAGAGGCGGAAGGCACCACAGCGGCCCTGATGGAGACCTATGATCACCCCAGCCGGATTTACGACGATCTAGAGCAGAGCGGACGAGAGCGGGAGAGACGGGAGAGAAAGGAAATACGAGTAAGGAATGATGCTAAGAAAGTGTTGGGAGAAGAAGCTGCTGTAGCCAGTGGTTGAAATACGGCTCTCTCCGAGATGGCAACGTCTCTGTGAAATATGAACGGCACTGTATCATTTTCAGCACATCTGTTCCAAGCCTCATTGTAGACTCACACCCACTGTAAAACATAAAGGCGCGACTCCAATTGCTACCGTAAGCATGGCCCAAACACTGAAAGGCATATATAGCCGTGTGAAAGCTTCTACGAGCTCGGCTTCAAGGGTATACGATGCCGATGAAAAGGTTGGAAAAAGCTAGTAGTAACATGTTGATAAAATGAATGAATTGCAAACCACGCACCAAGAGAATGGTCGAAAGCCAACAGAAAGGACGAAAACGGTGAGCAGAGAATGGAGAGAGATAGAGGTAATGAGAAAGAGTAGAAGAGCGAGACAGGGTGAGGCAGAGGTTCGAGGCAGTTTTATGACGTGCTGTTCTACACCATCCCACAGCCGAATCTCTGTGCTCGGCTGGTCCCAGCTGGTCGCCGTCACACCGAACCGCACAGCCCATCTAATTGAAAACGCAGCACGCCATTTGCATATGGATGGAAGGGCGGACGGGCCGGCAATGGCCGATACTAGGGGCGATAGCTGCCAGAGGCACACCTGCGCTGGCCGGCGCTCCTGTCCAGAGAGCACTGCCAATCTGGGAGAGCGGCCCGGGGTCGGCAGGGCCGGCGACGGCCGCCGATCACATGAGGGGGCCGAGTCAGAGCTCTGTCGGTCGAGGGTGTGGCGCCGGCAGCGGTAGAGGAGCTCGTCTGTTGGTCGAGGGTGTGGCGCCGGCAGCGGTGGAGGAGCTCGTCTGTTGGGCGAGGGTGCGGCGCTGGCAGCGGTGGCAGAGCTCGTCTGTCGGGCGAGGGTGCGGCGCCGGCAGCGTTGGAGGAGCTCGTCTGTCGGTCGAGGGTGTGGCGCCGGCAGCGGTGGAGGAGCTCGTCTGTTGGGCGAGGGTGCGGCGCCGGCAGCGGTGGCAGAGCTCGTCTGTCGGGCGAGGGTGCGACGCCGGCAGCGGTGGCAGAGCTCGTCTGTCGGGCGAGGGTGTGGCACCGGCAGCGTTGGAGGAGCTCGTCTGTCGAGCGAGGATGTGGCGCCGGCAGCGGTGGAGGAGCTCGTCTGTCGGGCGAGGGTGTTGCACCGGCAGCGGTGGAGGAGCTCGTCTGTCGGGCGAGGGTGTTGCACCGGCAGCGGTGGAGGAGCTCGTCTGTCGGGCGAGGGTGTGGCGCCGTCAGCGGTGGCAGAGCTCGTCTGTCGGGCGAGGGTACGGCGCCGGCAGCGGTGGCAGAGCTCGTCTGTCGGGCGAGGGTGTGGCGCCGTCAGCGGTGGCAGAGCTCGTCTGTCGGGCGAGGGTACGGCGCCGGCAGAGGTGGCGGAACTACATGGCTCAGGTGAGCATCGTTTTGTGCTGAGACGTACCAACACGTGTGACTCTTCATGTTGTTACTTGGGGAGTGAAACGTCGCTTTTCAAAAACAAATCGGTGCTGATCCTTCTCATCATTTCTTTTCATCCTTCCTCTCATCTTCAGCTGTTCATCCTTCTCATGCAGGCGGATTGCACTCGGAGCAGGTAGTGCTTCCCTAAGACATCCCGGACACCATGCGGCACTCAAACTATCTTCTACACGGCGACAGCCTCTCATCCCGTCCCGAACGACCGCGCCGCATGGGCCCCCAATAACACGGCGAACGTAACCCAAATACCGCAGTCCATATCTCGCCGGGCCAGAAGCTGCGCTCAGCGCCCTATAAAAGCACGGCGCCGCCGTCCACCGGCCGGGAAACTGTTGATTTTATCGTCAGTCCGGCGCGGCTGGACAAACGCCAGGTCCGAGGGCGCCGCCGATCGGCTTGGGCCGTGCATTGATTGGCCAGGTCGTGACCAATCGATGAGCACTGTCGGCGCGGGACGTCCGTGACGGTCGACGCCGCGTCGGGCGCAACTTTGCCGCGGGAGCGCCGGAATTGTCGCGCTGCGTGCGGCGTCTTCGAGTAAAAATAAGCCGGAGCCGAGGCCAGGACACGCCGCTGCTGGGACGGAGCTGACGGGAATGTGGGGGGGGGGGGGGGGGGCTCGCACCCTGGTGGTCCGGGTGAACAGCAGCACAGTCGGAGGCCTGGCTGAGGGAGAAGAGTCTGGAATTCGGTTAGAAAAAGCCGGAACTCTTTCTGTTCGGTATCGCGGACCAGTGTGGAAGTGTTGTCGAAATGTTTCGTAATGCGTTTAAGTTCAACGCGCGTAAGTGACGTGTAAGCAAAAATTCCCGGTCGCAGCAGTTCATTCACATTCCTAAACTATTTCGGGAGACCATATTCATCCTACCTTTTCATGGGCTTGTGTTGGCCCGTCAGGTCCGATTTTGTAGTGCTTTAAGTCCCTTTCCTCTTGGCTTGATATATGTAGTTGCTGTCTCCCTCACAATTCTAACAACGTTGTAGGAAATGACAGAAGCGCCCAGAAAGTTTCGTTATCAGGCATGCTTCCCTGGCAATGGAAGCAGCCGTTTGTGAATAAACTAGCGCAAGAAGAGCGCACAAATAATGGCACGCATTAAGGCGACGTCGACAGAACTCCTCCAGACTCGGTAAAACGAGCCGACTTTGGCCGCGGGCACTCCGTGATTCGGTTCCGTCTGGTCTTTACTGCATGGGCGGAAAAACAGGGCAGAGGTATGGCTCGCCTTCAGCTCTTACCTTTTCAGAAAAATCGCGCAGTATCGCAGGGCATCAAAGTGAAGAAAAAAGAGTCCAAAGCGAGGGTAACTTAGAGAGGAAGGACGAGAGTAGGTGGGAGAGAGAAGAGAAAGGAAAGGACGGAGAGCGAGAGGAGAAGGAAAGAGAGATGAACAGAGAGGGAGGAGAGAGAGAGAAAAATAGAGAGAGAGAGTGTGTGTGAGAGAGAGAGAGAGAGAGAGAGAGAGAGAGAGAGAGAGAGAAGAGAGCGAGAGAGAGAGAGAGAGAGAGAGAGAGAGAGAGAGAGAGAGAGAGAGAGAGAGAGAGAGAGAGAGAGAGAGAGAGAGAGAGAGAGAGAGAGAGAGAGAGAGAGAGAGAGAGAGAGAGAGAGAGAGAGAGAGAGAGAGAATGGACGCGTAATCAGCTGGATAGGTGGGACAAACTCTGCGGACTTGGAAACTGTCAAAGCATAACCACGATATGCCCTGGTGTTCGGTAAATAAGGCTAGGAGAAGTGGCTCCAAACCGAAACACGCAACAGGCGCGTTGGCGGCAGATTCGCCGCCAAGCGAGACGAACCTCTACTGGGCCGAATACATCGTGGGGATAAATGATATTTCAAGGGCGAAATGTAACCTTTGCTATGATTATCAAAGGCTTGTGTAAATGCTAGTTTTACATTTGAATTGTGTGATTTAATTGACAATGTCACTGCAATTGTCCCTACTTTTACCCCAAAAGACAGCGAAAAACGATCGAAGTGAAAGCAAATGGGAAGGCAATAAGAGGTAGCATGAAAATAAAGCACTAAAAGACAGAAGAAGACATCTGTTTTTTAACGCCTGCGGATTGCACACGCGGAACTCAAAGGCCAGTGAGTGAGAGGCGCTGGCGCCCTGCAGTCGCGAGAGCTGACGCAGACGCACACCGCTGGATGTAGTGCTCTCTTCGCCGCCGGCGTCCGGCTCAACCGCAGAAGTTAAACCGTTAGTCGTCGGCCGGCAGCACCAGCCGGCACCCAACGGCCGGAACTTAGCCAGATTCGCTCGGTGACGACATCGCGGAGGCTCTTACGCCCGCATGCGTGGCGTACGCCGCGTCCGGTTCGTTTCCCGCCGTCGGGCTGGATGGCCGCCGGACGGCGCTCGTTCGAGAGTGCTGCTGCGTCTCGCCGCCGGCGGCGGGCCTGCGCGACTCCGGTGTCCGCAGCTGTGGTGGATCGACGCTTACCCTGAGAGCGATGCTCCGTCTCGCCGCCGGCGGCGGGCCCGCGCGACCCCGGGGTCCGCAGCTGCGGTGGATCGACGCTCACCCTGAGAGCGATGCTCCGTCTCGCCGCCGGCGGCGGGCCTGCGCGACTCCGGGGTCCGCAGCTGCGGTGGATCGACGCCCGACCGGCGCCGATCTGAGCGGACGGCTTATGAGCCCGGCGCGCCGCTTGCATGACCGGCTATAAGTCACATATTGGACGTCCGCGGCTATCCTTACGACCCCGAGGGGATACAGTCCCACCTGTCCGGAGTAGACCAGCAGACAGGCTGACCGTGACCTGAAAGTCGACCTGACATGGCAGGCGTGACCTGGCCCGGGTTATGGCGCCGGGGACAGGGACGAGCGACCGTCGAGAGCGGGGAGGGGGGAGGGGGGGGGGGGCGAAGCCACCCATGAGTCGGCGGGCGGGAATGCGACGGACATCCAGCTCCATGATGAACGAGGACCACATGGACGATAAAGCAGCGCACAGTGGCCAGGATGTACACAACGCATCTTGAGAATCAAGGCTGTAGCACTGATGCCCTGGGACCAACGGCACGGAGAACAGTGACAGTACCGTCAGAGCCACCACGATCTCTAACCACGTGAGCCCAAGCCCGTCCGTCCGCGGTACTCACATTGGGTTGGTGGCGTTCCAGTAGACCTTGATGCGGTGCGCGGCGCCATGCTCCACCACCCGCAGCAGCAGCAGCACCCACAGTACGAACCCCGACGCCTGCATGACGCCCGTCAGCACATGGCCCTCTGAAACTGGACCGAGGGCGCCGGTCAAACGCCTCCGCGACAGGGTCTCGACGACGACACGACAACTGACACGAGGAGCTGATACGAGGAGAAACCAAGCATTGGGCAGTGCTTGACAGACACCCCATGGTAGGCAAGCATGTAAATGAACTCGACGTGGTTGTTCTTTGTACTCCATAAAAGGATAGCTGTATGGTGATGGTTTTGAATTGTCATCGTGCGATCTTCGTTTGGTCGTGAACAGCATTCCTAACGGCTCCAACTGTACGACGCAAAAGGTTTCGGGCCGCAATACCCACCGAGTGGGAGCGACTGAGTCACACCATGACATTGTCAATGCCAGCCAAGAGGGGGCAGGGCAGGGGGTGGACGCTACCGACTAAGGAACCTGGTCAAGGAAGTTGTGAGAATGGGTAGGGAAATCCCATCGCGCTATTGCTTTCGGTGATAACAAAGGGATGGCAAGTGCATTACAGTGAATTCACGTAAGTGGGTTTGACGCCTGCGCGTGAGAGCGGTTCTGTTTATCCGTCGGAGCAGGCTGAGCCAAAAGCGCAATTCAGCTGGTCTGGCGGCCTCCCTGGTGAAAAACCAATGATGCCCCATGAGAACTGATGGGTTGAAATATCACCCCACTAATCTTCCCAAACAGCTCCGCTAAAAAAGCCGATGCCTGATGTCCTTAGCCACGCCTTCGGGTGGGCAGCGCCATCTGCCGAGAACATCGTCAGCGCCGGCATAAAAACCTGCGTTGACCTCCGCCTGGCGTCGATACACGGACGGCGGCGGTGGCCGGCGAGCCAGTCACACTCTGATTACGGTCAGATACCCGCGGGCGCATTACCACTCCGTCGCCATGGCAACCACTGCACACGGCCGCCACCAAAAAGTCGGCATCGATATCCCGACACGGGAATTGCAGACCACAAGCCAGAGCCGCATCCGAAACCACTGCCGGTGGGACTGACGGCGGGCTGGAAGCGGGGAGAACGATGGCGGGGGGGGGGGGGGGTTGCGCCACTTCCTGTGAGGCGAAATACGACGACCAAATTGTTTGTGTAGCAATATGATCGTCTGACGTGAGAGATCGGCAAAGACGACTATTGGAAGGCACGTCAGGCACCCACTAGCCAAGTTAGAAATATGGCTCAGCGGTCGATGCCTACATATTGTGGAATGCGTGCGCCCACCATCGTGCTTGACAAGCCCGAGGACTGGATCCTTGAGACATGGCAGACGCCCAAGTGCCTTGCAATGCAGCCCATACGTCTGCTTTTTGACTTTCTTGCTGCGGTCCGCCCTGACTGATTGTCTCGGACAGGTAGGCTGAGCCTCAGCCACGCGGTGTGGTCAACATTTCAACCAGTTATCTTCTTTGATTGCTGTCCTTCGAAATATCTTCGCATCTACAAGCATTCAACGTCCTGAGTGGACAAAACAAAACATTGAAACGCTTGCAGGTTGAAAAGATCATCACTGCACTGAACTGCATTGAAAAATTGATCAAAAACGTGCAAGCGGCGAAAGGCAAAACTCAGACAAAAAAAAGGCAGCGGAAAAAAGGAAGAGGGAAATACAAATAGCAGGAAAAGTAGAGAAACAAGAGAGAAAGAATGAGACGCGTTGAAAGGGGCATATAATAAGAAAGAAGCAAAGGCGACAGCAGGAACGAACACACGGGTGAAGGAAAAGCAGACAGACATAAAGAAAGAGACAAGGTAGAAGGGAAAGAGGGGGGGGAGTGAGTGAAAGAGGACCGTCAGCCGTCTTGTTCTATTCTGTTCAGCAAGACAGGACAACGCAAAAGCGTTACGAATTTTCCTGGTGGTGACAGGCTTTGTTCCCTCTATTTGGACATCGCCCTGGACTGGATACCCGGTTTAGAGCACGTCTCCTCTTCATCGACGCTGCTCGGCATTCGGAGCTACCAGCGCCATTCGCTCCACGCCACCAGTAGCCGAAAAGGAAGCAGACAGCTTGTCTAGCCTACGGAACTGGGGACATGACGTTGCCGCTTCCCACGGGGCCGTGAGGGAAGCAATGCTGCTCCGGCCGACGGCGCGGCGCGAGGAAGTAGAGCTGTTTCACCCGGCGGCGGCCGAGCGGACGGCAATCGTGATCACTCCGGCGGAACTGACGACCGAACAGTCGTGTTCATTCCAGGATTAGCGAAGCGGAGGGAATCTCATTCCGTCCGGCATCAGTCAAGCGGGAGCAGTTTCCGACAATGGCCGCAACTGGGCGTCGGCGTTCCTCGACACCCACGGCATGACTTCTGCACCGTCGGCGGTCGACCGAGTTCAGACGTCTCATCCGCGCCGGCGAGCTTCACACAAAGCTCCTCAAGCCAGGGGGAGAGGGAGAGGACGAGAGCAGCCTGTCCCTCAGACCATCAAGTCCTCAGCTATTCCGGAGAGGTCCGTATTTAAAAGCGGCAGCCGCCAAATTGGGACGTTACCTGACAGGTGCCAGCCGGGTGAGCGGCGCCGGCGCCGGCGCCGGCGGCGGCGGCGGCTCTCGCCGTTTAATCACGCCGCGGTTGTGCCGGCCGCAGCGGTGTCGGCCTCAAACGGAGCCCAGCCGTCACCTCGTCAAGACCGACGGCCCCACAGTCGAGATCGACGCCAGTGAAGCCTGTCAGTTGCGGAAGGGGCCGCAAGGGGCGGGGGTGCGGTGGGTCAGACCCGTGGGTCGGATGTTTGAGTGCATCGTAACAGCATTGCTGTGAAGTGAGTTGGCGGTAAAGGGAGTGGGACACCGTAACAGCACTGCTGAGTAGTGAGCTAGCGGTAAAGGGAGCGGGACACCGTAACATCACTGCTGAGTAGTGAGCTGGCGGTAAGGGTGGCGGGACGTCGTAACAGCGCTGCTGAGTAGTGAGCTAGCGGTAAGGGTGGCGGGACGTCGTAACAGCACTGCTGAGTAGTGAGCTGCCGGTAAGGGTAGCGGGACACCGTAACAGCACTGCTGAGTAGTGAGCTGCCGGTAAAGGGAGCGACACACCGTAACAGCACTGCTGAGTAGTGAGCTGGCGGTAAGGGTAGCGGGACGTCGTAACAGCACTGCTGAGTAGTGAGCTGCCGGTAAGGGGAGAGGGACACCGTAATAGCACTGCTGAGTAGTGAGCTGGCGGTAAGGGGAGCAGGACGTCGCGTAACGTCAATTATTTCTAAAACATTCTATCCAGAACTGTGCTGTCAAGCCACCTCGGCAATATGTACATGGGCATGTCGATCCGCAATAAACGTAGCGGGTCGGAGCAAACGGAGTCGAGTGATTTGTCAATTACACAACACAATATATTACATACAGACATAAACTACGTCAGCAGAGATGAAAGCGATAGCCTCCGGCTTCAAACAATTCCGTTTTTTGTCGTGTATGGTATAAATCCAAGCCATGCTATATTGTGTACTGTGTAAACCAATTGCTTGGTTATATATCACTCTTGATATTTAAGTCTCCAGTACCTGTTATAGGTTGCTTTGGTTCTCCGTCCTGTCATACCCCCCCCCCCCCCCCCCCATTCCTTTAAAGGGTGTTTGTATTTCGCGCCGGTACCAGTGTCTGTCGTAGCAGTGTCTGCCCCTGTGCCAGCGCCCATCCCGGTACCAGTATCTGTCCCGGTAGCAGTATACGTCCCGGTACCAGTGTCTGTCGTAGCAGTGTCTGCCCCTGTGCCAGCGCCCATCCCGGTACCAGTATCTGTCCCGGTAGCAGTATACGTCCCGGTACCAGTGTCCGTTCCAGTACTGTCCTGACACTAGCGTACCACTGACAATCCCGGGTATCTAGCACCAGTCAATCTGTCCTTGTCGAGTACTTCCACTGCTGACCCCGGACCCCCCCCCCCCTTCCCCTTCCCGCGTCTCTTCCGGTTCATTTGATTCCCGGCTTCTAATGGTGTGCTCCATCGCCACAGCAGACCCGACCTAAGTGATTCGTGTGAGTCATTGTCTCCATCCAGTATCATAGTTTGTCTCGCAGTTGCGTATCTTTCCTTCATTGGCCGAGTGGCCCGAGTGTTATGGTAATTAAATGGGCATCGCACCGACAAGAATGGCGGAGGGCACCAACTGATGAACTGCGGGGCGGAGGGGACAGTCCGAGGAGGAGGGCCGCTTCCCCTGGCCAGCAGACGCGGCCCCACGCCATCCATCGGGGTTGTCTGGCTGTGACAATACGCGCCGACACACCACTTAAGGACCCCGGGGCCACGAAACAAAGCGGCGAGCCACCCTCAGCAGAGAAGACAGCGCACCCTTACACCACTCTGCATTATTTCACCCGGCGAAATGCTGAGTGCACGGTTTCCGTCGTGTGATAGTTATTACTTACATGGTGTTGAGTGCATGAGTGTGGGTCCATAACATGACGTAATCACATAATGTAAAATACATTAGCCGCCCATCGTGAGTGGTGGGCAACGGTGAAGAGCCGGGGACCCAACGCTGGCTGTTCTGCATTGGTTTGCACTGCTGCCGATAACAACTGCTGGCTTGTGAGGCAGCAGTGAAGAGCCGGAGGCCCGGCGCTGGCTGTTCTGCATCGGTTTTCCTTGCTACTGACAGCAAGTGCTGACTTATGAGCGCCAGCTCATCACCCGGCAGTCACGGAGGCACGCAGTCATCGATCACCGCGCGGTCACGAGTCCTCCCCGTACGGTCGGGGGCCGAGATGCCAAGCGCAATCACTGACGTGAAGGACAATGGAATCGTATGAACGCCGCAAAAGTTTGGTCGTTTGAGTGCTGGTCCGACATGTTTTGATGCAGGAGCCGCGCGGAAGTTGTCTCAAACGGCCGATGTTCGGCGGTTCTGAACGGTTCGTCGGCGCCGATTTCGACCAGAGAATCGCCAAAGTTGCCGTCACATCCGCCGCCTAATCACATCATCAATCAATCCGTTGTTTTGCAGTTCATCTAACTACGTTGTTGACGCCACAGTTAAGTTAGGCATTATCGGCTGGCGGGATTGATGCTGAAATATGATGCCGGGATTTTCAGC